CTTTTTAATCATAGGAAGTGCGTTTTTCTAAGATGAAGTGTTTTCTTACATAAACTTTTAGGACTGACTGTACAGCCAATACATCCTTAAACGTTTTTCGCTTCTTGCATTGGAAACAATAAGAAATTACGCGAAAGTTAAAATAAATGTTGTTAAAATATAATCGTATATATTTGCATCACTTTCTCTTTTTAGACATTATTGTAATACCTATGTATATTCGATACATACACATGTCTAACGGCGCCGCTTCTTTTTTCACCGAAGGATCAATACTTTCACTCGCAAAATAATTTGTACTCAAGTATAATAATATAGAATGTACATTCTCACCATCCTCCACAGGTTTCATACTTTCCTTTTTATATCCCTAATACATATGATACATGTGCAGATATAATATGATAATTGTCATATTATATTAGTTGATTACTAATACGTTCATCGCAGCGTTATACTTTAAATAATGGTCAATGGAATGAAGATATTTACACAAATTTTCGTTTAGCAAAAATAACTTTTCTAATCTTTAGTTGTATATCTTCGACGAGAAAAGAATATTCCTGTAAGCTACTTCGAAAATCGAAATAGCCATTGAACTTTAATTTTTACTTAAGGAACAGTCCAATTGTCGATTAAAATTATGAATGCGGCATTTTAGAAATCTGCAACCCTATCTGTAACATTAATATAATTTTCTCATTCGAAACCGTTTCGTTGTTCACGCACACCAAGTATACATTATATAATACGTATATTTCATGTATAACTTTTTCGCAATTATTTGTAAATCGTCCGAAATGTACGATATAGTGCATTTAAAGGCTTATTTGAAATATGCATCTATTCGAAAAAATTGTTAAAAGGCATTTTTGTAATCGATGTAAGACACGTCGAATACCATTGTCTTACTTTTTTTCACAGGATTAATGCAAACATTTTTGGTTCATTGCATCGATTGCAATCGATAGTTTGGAAACTTTGTTGAAGACACTTTGTGAATATCTTATGATTCTTATTTTTTATATTGTTCAGTGATTTACATATAAGCTAAAACGAAGCCTTTCATGACAATGTATGTCTAATCGTAATTATTGCTGAGTCCGACTTTAATCTTCGGTGTCGTCGGTTTCCAAAATAGTTTTGAAACAGAATGGCTGAAAGAGATCACCCTTGCCCTCGTAGAATTTGCTCATAAATTCAACCCTGAAACAAAAAACAAAATAGAAGATGAATGAGAATGAATTTGCAAAAAAAATGAACAATAAGATATAATGAACGCGTTTCAGGCAATTTTAATTGCTATTGATCACTGAAATTTTTTACGGAGAAATCGTGAGTTCGTGCCTCCACTNATACTAAACTAAAGTACCAGTACTGGCTACAAGTATAATACTAACGAGCCCAAGCCCTTTAAAATATATACGAAGGAAACAGAAAACTTGAGATAATAAGAAAAGAAGTAAGCTGTGATCAAATAGGGATCGAAATAAAACAATAACGAATGCTTAAAACATGTAGTAGCCGATTACCTTCAAGTCCCGTATAAATTGGGCGGTTACAGCGCTCCTGACGGTCTCGCAGCTGTAAAACGCGTGCTTCTCGGTGATCGCCCGGTAAAGTCCGCTGGCCGATTGGCTCGAGTCTAATTTAAAATTCAACGAAGTCTCCCCGCCGTCGAGAGATAGGTAAACCAAATGAAACATTCGACGCTGGGACGTTGCGCTTTGTATCGCCGTGTAAGGTATACTGTGAAAAACAAAGAGGACGTTATCGATCTCGTACAAAAAAAAAAATTCCTGACCGAACAATCGACACGTAGGTATCGACGTACTTTTGCATTTCCTCGTCGTGACTGCGATAAACCGTGATACCATGTGGCCCGACACCAATCATCGACACTCCGTTGTAACCAAATTTACTGTGGAACATCTCCTGGCCGAAAGTATCCAGATTGGATATCTCCTTTAGTAGCCAGTACTCGGCGGTAGACGGTTTCATCCCCTGAACGAAAAGGAAAAGGTACAGGTGATGAAACATCAGTTTCGATTTAGCCTACGGAAGCTTGTAAACAGAATTGCAGATAAGCCCTTTGAATTGAAATGACCGGTTCGTCATGAATCTTCTTGAGTAAAGTAACAATAACGAGCTGCACTCGCCCGAAATTGAGACTTTAAGCTTTTTTTCAGAGAAATAAGTCGTAGTAAGTCTATCGCTTTAATACAGTTGTTTGCATGCTTCTAGAGTGCAAGAGTTTGAATTTAGTTTGCATAAATTTATGTAGCCAGCTATCGCGGTAAAGCAAATGGACGACGCAACATACTGAGCAGCAAAGCTGTAAGTTTTTATATGAATCCCCCTCTCCTCTTGAAACTAAGAAAATCAAATTGTCTGCCTGAGCAGTGCAGACTGAAAATAAATTCCAGTTCAAGGGGTTAATTCAATTGAACACCGATTGGCAATTGAGTTTTAATTAACACTAGAATTACCAGACCATTCAAACTGGTTGGTTTTGAATGGAGAAACGCGTACATCGAAAAAGCCGGTAGTTCTCGTGTTAATTAAAGAATACTCCAATTGTCGATTGAGATTTAGAAAAATTTAATTATCAATTGTTAATATGGCAATCAAAAGACTTGTGATCCTGGTACCATTTCAACTTGCAACTCGATAATTCGAAAATGAGTAGAAAAAGGAAGATTAAGAAACGCTACGTGGCTGAATTATAACGGAGATCAGAGATTTAGACAAATTTAATTGTTAATATAGAAACTGAAAAATATGCATATACTACTATGCTAAAGGCTATATTCTGTCCCAGAAATATGGTCATTGCAGTCATCGTTCTTACTTCTTGTCCTACGTTCGCTCCGTGACGTACTATTAAGATCTTCTGGCCATTACAATTTGTCTCATAATTATTGTTTACTCGTTACAAATTTGAGAGAAGTATTTACCGTTTTTAAAAAATTGTGCGAGTTTGAGGATTAAATGATTTCTTTTCTACGTACCAATGAAGTCTGAGAGTGTGAAGAAAAGCGGAGAGACCCTCCATCATGACGAGGATAGCGAGGGTAAAGCATGCCCAGGCGCCGAAGATGACGAACAAGACAACGCCGAATATGTAGGGCGGAAAATTGCTCGGAGCGAAACCGTTTCTCATCACCATGGACCACAACACTTCGGACAATTGCGCATGGGCCAACGATAGAGCCCATAGACGTAGATAAGAGGCAGTGTGAGATATCGTTGATAGGACATATTCTATCGTGTGAATACCCTGATATATCATTAATTCGCTGAACGAATCACTTTCGTGCCCAGATGCGGCTTCAGTGTTCGAGGGACCGCTTTGCAAACCTTCGGTTTGCAGTTCGATATCCTGGGACGTGGTTCCATTACTCTAAAAACAAACGAGATTACATTATAAGTCGAAATCTACATATAGTCAAGAGCAAATTGCATCATTGGAATTGTAGAGTTAAGCAAAAAACACATATTATATGAAATTGAATAACTGTTTTAAAATCGTACCAAACGAACCGAAGTTTTTTATATAGTCAAGTGGAATGATTTACTTTTAAGTAAAACTAAAGAGCACCTCTTAGCCTAAGGGTTGGAGAAAGTTTTCTACAAGTTCTTAATGCCACGTCGGAGTACTCACCACAACTTTTCTATCGTTTTTCTTCTTCTTCATCAGATAGTAAAGTGGTTTACCGAACAGCATCACTGGCACGCAGAGCACAGCGAGTAGAACGCAAACCAGTTGAAGAGTGTATTGACCGGTGAACATGAACGCCGAACAACCCTCTGCTTGTTTAGATTCTCCCTGAAGGATCATGTTAATAAACGTGATCAACACGGAAGGCGCGCACTGGGGTTTGTATCGTATGTCTGCAAAACAGTATCAACACATTAATCTTTTTATTGATTCGGTCGGATAAACGTCTAAAATGTGAATACAAACCTGGCGAGGTCGCGTCGAACATAAACCATTTGACGAACATCAACACTACTAGGTAGAAGAACAATAAAACGAGGAAGAGCAGTTGTGGCAGAAGTTCAAAGAAGAATCTTTCATATTTCTTGAAATGTCTGGAGAGAATATACAGGCACAATTAGTATTCTGCCATGTTTCTCCTTTCGTATTCATTGAGAAATGAAACATTAACTTACAAGATATTGGGGATGTTCATCATTACCCCGAATATCATATGCACGACACCGAATATGATGGACAGTTTCATTTTATACGAATTCAAAAATATAATCTTGTTCTCCGCCAGCATCCAAACCGGGTCCATACCCAACGGGTATGGGTACTGTTTGTAACTTTCGGTAGCCGGGTCCAGTGTAAGATCAACATTATTCCACACTGTTTTATTGTCGTACGTTATCACCCAACTAGACCCGAATATGTTTAATGACTTTGAGAACAGGTCGTTGTAAATGATGCCAGTGTAAATGGAAAACAAACCCATTAACAGGATTATGTATCGTCCGGCGAAAAATATATTCCATATCTCAGACGACGATTTTTCTGCGAGGAACTTCTTTTCCAGCACTACCATATACACGCCGAACAGAGTCAGGATTATACCTGCGTCAGAAATCACCAGACATTGTTAATCCCGATGATATGTCTTCAGTTGTTGATACAAAGGATCTTATGAGAAGACCAGATTTTATGCATTTATAGATAATTATATCTGCAATCGCTATATCCCAGACTCATGTAATAATTGGTTTCAGTGTATGCGACGTAAATCAACAATCTTAAAGACGTAAGTCGTGTACATACGGTGATCCGTTCTGTATTTCCGGGGACAGTTCTGTATTTTAGTAGCCTTCCCCCGAAATTTTTTTTAAGAAATACTGGATGTGAGAATGTTCTGTATTTACTTTCTAGCGCCATATTTGTATAAATTATACATATAGCATCGAATAAGATGAAAATGGGTCTTTTGCAACTGAGTTACTAATTTCTTCTTTTAATAATAAATTGTAATAATCGGATATTTCTACAATGTAATCTTGTTAATTTTTAATTCTATGTAAATATTCGTGATTGATCAATTTCGAAATGATTTTGTTATGTCTCGAAGACTTTACTTTTGTTTCTTATTCTTTTCGTTTTAAGCAATTCTTTTTGTTCAATTGTTTTTCTTCCTTTCAGTAAATAATTTATGAAATAATCCAGTACAACAAATTCGTCATTTTTTGCTGTTTGTGTGTTGTTATAATTCCCACCTTCTTTTGTCCCCGGTTTTGTACCCAAAAATATGGTCACCGTAGCTATACGTGATACAACAGGATTGTAGATAAATGATTAAATTTTTAATTCAATCGAACACCAATTAATGTTCGGTTTTTTATGAGGATTTGAGTAATTATGAATTAAAATTATTTGATTATTGAAGAAATTCGAATTAACGATTGAAGTTTAATTCTTACTTAAAAAATACTCCAATTTTCGATTGAGATTTAAAGGAATTGACATATTAATTGTTAATGCGGCAATTAAAACATCTCCAACTCTGTGATACAGTTATATCCACATACAATACATAATATAAGATGTCCCATCTAACTTAGACGAATAATTATTATATACAGGGTGTTTACAAAATCGTGGTACAACCGGCAAGGGGGTGATTTCTCACATAAAATCCAGTCGAAAACAAGGAATATAGTTTTTTTATACGGGGCGTCATTGTCGAGAAAATCGTAAATTTTAATAATTCATCTTTTCTAGTAAATTACAAGTGTTGGGAATATCTTCCTTGCTGTTATAGGCAAATTCTTGCTCGACGAATTAGTGAAGTAATTAATTAGAATTAGTGTGAATCGAAACTAATGTATTCGAGTTTTTAACTGCTTCGAATGCCTGAACGATATTACCTTTTAATTAGTCCCGATTTTGATTATTTTGGGCATAAACTATTTCTTTTACGTGATTCCACAAATAAAAATCTAAAGGAGTAAGATCTGGCAATCTCGGGGGCCACGCAATAATTCCACCTCGGTCAATCCAACAGTTGTACCTCTGGTTTAATAAGTAATAACTCGATTTTCTCGAAAATGACGTCCCGTATAAAAAAACTATATTCCTTGTTTTCGATTAGATTTTATGTGAGTTGTACCATGATTTCGCAAATACCCTGTATATATTTATTAACTATTTTATCTATATCTCACTTAAATTAATGTAATGAACTAGATATAATACAACCTAATGGAATTGTTAAGTTATTAATCATTTTATCTATATCTCACTTAAATCAATGTAATGGTATTATCAAAATACCGATGCGATCACGGTTTCATTAAAAAGATTACATCGGCAAATTTTGTAGCGATAGGCAATTCATTTATTAAGATTTCGTGACTATTTGAACTGTCGACTCTCCATGGAGTGACTGGATATCTGAGTAATGATTTCTGATTAGCTGCGGAAAAGTACGCTTAAACCAGAAATAGGGTTAAAGCGAAAGGATAAATACACTGCTATTTTACGACAGGATTCGATCATCACACAAAATTCGCGGAATAAATATGTATAAAAAATAATATAACTTTATTATTATCGACATTTTTATACCTAAAAAAACATTTGAAATGTTAATTTTTATTTCACTAACGTATGAACAGTGGGCATAGTTCATATTCAGCTATTAATTTTGACATTTCGCATTTTGACCATGCAACTTTCGGTTTAGGCACACTTCTATGTATTCCTGCCGTCACGAGAGTCTATACCAGTTTCGCACAGCTTAGAGGTAGTGGGGGTAACCGAATAGATCCGAGTAGTGGCAAAAATATGTTAAGCATTAGAGAGAAAGAGATAAATGGAAACAGCGACCGAAAACTGGTCTTTGCGTATTATGGACTCTCGTGACGGCAGGTATAGGTGCCGAGTCACTTCCTGAAGGATCACTAATCTGGACTAACGTTATTATCAATTTCAGTTTATCAAGCTAGTTATTTGAGTTGCTTATTATGAAATTGAGGTAATAGCAAATGAAGCAATAACAGTAATAGCAAAAATGGAGTTACACCACTTTTATGGTAAACGGCTGATTTTTGTTATTCTAGGAATATTGCAATTTACTTACCGTGTCCACAATCGCCGAACATGATGCCGAATAGGAAGGGGAAAGTGATAATCGTGTAAAGTGCCGGATTAGCCTCGCGATACGATGCCACGCCGTAGGCGTCGATCAAATTTTGGAAGCCTCTGGTGAACTTGTTCGTCCTGTTAAATGTCGGAGGGTTCTCGTCTGTGTAGATAACATTGAGGAAAGATGGTATCGAACTACCGCAGAGACGCTAAAGAAAGTAAATTATTCAGAGAACTTTAATTAAACGCGTAAATCGTTTGAACTAAACAAATGTTCAAAAAAATCGTACATCTCGTAAGGTAGCTGTTACCCTTTACCAGTCAACTAAATAATTAAAAATAAGTATTCATAAATACAAGACTTTTCATTTATTAAAAATTCATGTATAAGAGAAAAGAATTTTGGTTTATCCTACAAAATTAAAAGAAAAGGTATTATCGAAAAAAAATGATATGCTGTTTTAATTAGAGCCGCCATGTTTATTAAACTTCTCATAGCGTGACAAATGATGNCAAAGTGAATAGCTTCAATAATTAGTAATAATAATAGTACAAAATTGAAATAATGTCAAATTAATCGTTAACGATTATGTGTACGTGAGTTGATTTAAGTTGAGGACGACTGTTTTTCGCAAAAGTCCTTAACACTTTGACTGCCAATTAGAATACTCTTTTTAATTAAACACTTTATAATAAAACATTTTCATATTTTATTAGCCTATATTCAAACCATTAACCTGATCCAAGTGATATAACTTATTAAAAACTTTATGTATCATCTGAATTTGGGGGACTTGGCAGTCGAAGTGGTAATATATAAAAGAATGTCTGTAAGCTTCTACAAGAAGAGGTAAATTGAAATCAATGGACGTACCGATCCTTCGGTGAGGCAGTTTCGAATAATGGTGAGATCTGCAACGGGTACCCAGCATTCCCCAATAAGGCACTTCTTCGTTACGTCCATGTTAAACAGGTTCATTGTATGATAAATAGCCTTCATCTTTCGGACCATAACCGACCAATTAGGCAACTCTTTAGCCACGTTGTGGAGTACACGTTGTCGATGATCTTGCGTTTGGTTTAACACCTATAAAAATGAGGAAAAGGAGAAAAGGTGACAAACGTTTTATTCGATTTGCTAAATCTTCTATTTGATTAGTGTCAGAATTATCATTCGAAGCGCCCGGCCGACAGTGTGAATGAGTGTGTATGTACGCGTGAGCAGTTGTATGTGAGGATGTTATAGTGAGTGCAGTTGAGCAGAGTACGATGATACATTAAAATTGAATAAAGTTTTAACTGTAAGTGAATTCGTATTTCGTTCAACATTCATTGCCAAAATAATTAGTCATCTCATAACTGTTGGATACATACATACTATGAAAGCTAGTATCAATGATAACGTGATAGTTAGGCTACAAATTTTTATGGAAAATGGAGAATTCAGAGCATCAATCAATAAAGTGTATTTTATATAGTATAGACATATCGTTTATGATTTAAATATCGCAATACGTATTT